TTTTTTTTTTTTTTTTTTTTTTTTTTTTTTTTTTTTTTTTTTTTTTTTTTTTTTTTTTTTTTTTTTTTTTTTTGTTTTGGTTTTTTTTTTTTTTTTTTCCTCCCTTCCCAGCCTGCCAAAAAAGCGTTAGCATGGCACCTCGGGTTGTTTTGCCTGCAAGGAAGCCAGAACTCCCCAAGACGTTTTCATGCTTTCGGCATCGTCGCCTTAATGAGGAAGTGCCCTTGTTCTGAGCACTGAGTGAGTCATTAAAAAAACCGAACAACCCTATAATCGCAGAAGGCCAGATAAGCGTGGAGAAAGTATTACTCCTAGAGGAGAGGATTTGCTTTACTCTGGTTTGGAGTATACTCTTAAAAAATGAAATAGCTGTTTAAAACCTTCTAGTTAGTGCGTGTGTGTGGTATGCGTGTATTATATATGCTAAAACACTACAGAGCTCCCTCCGTTAATTATTAAGGTATAGAACACCCCAAATGTCAGATCTCTATGTTCCCTTTTTTGAAAATAAAAGTGCAGACATGCTATCATGGTTTTCAGAGGGTTGGTTTAGAAATATATATATTATATATATAGATAGATAACAAAATATGAACAGAAACTGGCTTTCAAGGATTGTGAGCACTTTCTCTTTAAAAAACACTTGATTGGAAGATAAAAACTGCTCGCTCAGTGCTAAGAGGGCTAACAAGCTGACATGATTATAGGAGGGTTTGGCTTTGACCTTCAAACGCCACATGCATGTATCGGATAAGAGGCAATCTTGATAAAACACGGTGAATTAATCATTCTCCTTGTATAGTGGGGTAAGTCTTTCTCCCATAGTTATCTACAGTGCAGTGGCCAGCAGGAAGTACCACCAATAAGACGGTGTGGTTTGCTAAGCGGTGATGAAAACTGGAAACTACTGTAGTTATAATTGTTTAATACACCCTGCCACATGTCCAGATCTAAAAGATTTTAATACCGTATGCAAATGTGCCATAGATATAGCTGCTAGCAAGTTGGTTACCTAATTGGGTTTGTTGTTTTTTTTTTTTCTTTTCTTTTTTTTCTGGAAATCTTTAAGTGGCTGTCCGAAGGTCTTAGAAGCATTAATGGCCACAGTCAGCTGTTACTTCATGAGAACAGCTGAATTTCCAGGTTTTCAGCCTGACTCTTAGAGCCTTTAACTATAACAGATCCCTAAACTGGAAGTCTTATGGATGCAGTAGATCTGCAGTGCTTCCTCCTCAGTCAGTCTGTGTTTGCAGTCGATTGTGTTAACATTATTTTATTAATCGCTCTTCAGCAGTGTCAATAGACCTTGTAATCCATGATGCTAATTGTAGTCATAGGCAGTGTGTTTTCTGCAGTCTTGTAAGTCCAAATACTCTTGCTATATACAGTTTACGTGTTAACTCCCTTCTTTATGATGCATGTACATAGTCACTTGAAGAGGCCTGTAGATGAAGTTGGCTTGACAAATGCAATTTCATGAAGCTAGTGCAGAAGCAAAGGAACAGCAAGAAGTGGCGATGCTGACAAATTCCCAGTACAGCACAAAGACGACAATTCGGTGGATAAATCATCCTGAATGAAGGATGCTATCTTTGGTCACAAATTAGCTTACAGGGTAAAATATAACAAAAACCCAAAATCAAATACGGGGGCGGGGGGTAGAAATGAATTCACTGCATCTGCACAAGTAGAAATGGCAGTGTCTTCCAGTGATTATGTAGGTAATAATGTCTACACCTAGAGAAGATGAATGCTGCATAGGGGGTGGATGGTTATGTGGTGGTGTCGAGGGGTGGCAGCTTCTCACTTGGCCTCCTGTTTCCAGTCCTCTTTGCAGAAGTGTCTAAGAAGCTGCTGGAGGTCATGTTGGAGGTCATCCTGTGGTAGTGCTTCTGGTGTGTCTTCCAGCTCTTCTACGTGAACGTGTTTTCCATACCGATCCTTCATCACAGTCCTCTTCTGTGTGCTGGCTTTACTCAGTGTTGTCCTAAAACAAAATGAATGAGAAAACTGTCTTAAAAACCCCACAGTTCCGGAAGGCTTTAAAAAATGCTCCTTTTCAGCTGCAGTTTTAAGGCTTTTTCATTTAAAATAACATGAGAAGAACTGTGGCTGGCAGTTTAAGTCAGCTACTGAGGTCAGATACTCGTTCTGCATTCTGAATGCAACACACACCGTAGCTTTAACTGGCTTTCACGTAAACTAATAGCAATTCACCTCCACCCGCTGGTTAAGCATACAGTTTTAGATGCTCAGCAAAAACATGCTGTAACAGACAGACATGCAACAGATGTTGAAATTCACACAAGACCTTCCTATTCGCTGTATTTAACTTCAACATACGGAGTTGTCCTGTACAATAGTAGTTTAAGCTGATTAATTTCTTGAACGCTTACTTCTGAACAAGTCTTACTTCTGACAGCCAGTAAAACTACACCTGTGGTAATCTAGCGTCCTAAACTATTCTGTTAATTACTGTCTTACCTCACTGGAACCATCTTGCTCTACTAGTCAGAACCTTAAACCTCACCAAGTCCCTTCCAGATCTAGGCAAATAAAGGTAGTTGTCGTAGGACAGCTGGGTGTCTCTTGCTTAGCCCTACCCAGAAGCCCAATTTTTGGTCAGTGTCCTTAAGAGAGGACCACGGGAAGCCAAGCACACTTGGAAATTCCTGCGTGCTCAGCCAGGAATAGCTTGATTTTTATCAGGCAGCTGACACTTCTTAATGTGACCCGAATGACCAAAAGGTCCCTCCGTTAGATGGAGCACTTTGACGAGAATGCTCGCCCTTCATCCAAAAGCAGATGCAGCAGGTCTTCCCGCTCTCCGTGTGTCCCTGTGACACCATCCCGCTAACTCTGAAACTGGTATGTGTTTTACGGCTTGTTACAGTTACAGACGCAGTTTGGTCAGGCTGTTCTTTCAGATGCTAACATTGGCTTTACCATCCCAACGGTCACTATCAATACAAATGGCCTGAAAGAAAAGGTGTGTAAAAGATACCGAGCTTGGAGCAGCCTTGGCTTAAGTTCTGTGTGGTTGGAATGAATACACTTGCTGTACTACAGTAGCTTTTATTTCTCCCAAATATTTTCCTATCTGCCCTGCCTCGTTCCTCATAAGGCTCAACTGTCACATGCGTATAGCTATATATATATCTATCTCCATATAGCCTCTCACCTATTTTGATAATGTTCAAATTATCAAATGATCACAGAGTCAGCTGGTATGAGAAAAGAAAATTTTGAAGTAACCGTGATTAATGATGTTAACTGTAAATCACGGTTATTCTTGTATCGCCTCCTATGAAATCAGCTCGGCAGTGATACCCCTTTGATCTGGGTCTAGCCAGGATGCGGTTAACTTTCTTCATAGCAGCCTGTGGGGTGCACTGTTTTCCATTTGGGTCTAAAACAGCGTTGATAACAGACCAATGCTTTCGTTACTGCTGAACAGTGCTTACACAGCATCGATACTTTCTCTTTTTTGTCCCACTGGCCCCCTCAGTGAGTAGGCTGGGGGCGGGCAAGAGACTGGGAGGGCCCACAGCCAGGACAGCTGACCCAAACTGGCCAAAGGGATATTCCACACTATATACAATCACGCTCAGCAATAAAAACAGGGGGTAGAGGAAGAAGCTGGGGGAGGCGGGGGGGTTATGGTTATGTCTTCCAAGGTGACGACTGCTCAGTGACTGGCTGGGTATCGGTCTGCTTGTGGGAGGTGGTGACGCCTTTGCATCACTTGTTTGGTTGTTCTTCCCCCTTTCCTTCACTTACTAAACTGTCTTCATTCAACCCATGAGTTTTCTCACTTTTGCTCTTCCTATTCTCTCCCCCGTTCCAAGGTGGGGCAGGAGGGTTAGGGAGCGGCTGCGGGGTGCTTGGCTGCCGGCCAGGGTGAACCCCCCACACCCCTGTTCACCGAGTCTTTTCAAGTGAGTGTAGACCTTTCCAGTGCATCTATCCCTTCCTGTAACAGAATGTTAGTAGTAATCTTTAGTACTTTTGCAAATAAAACTTCAGATGCTGGCAGTGGTTTCACTTCAGACACTCGCTTACATCCACTCACTTATTATGAGTTTGTTAATCCTTTTCTAGTAACAGTTCATTGACATGCCAAGCCAAACCTTTTAATAATTGATCCGTCCTCTTTCATGATTTCTTTCTCTACTAAAGCGGGGAGCTGGACTTTCATTTGGTTACCTGTATAGCTCAAAGCCTCGAATTAAAACATAAACTTCAAATTAAAACAAAACCCAAAAACCTAGGACAGAAGATAATTGCTCTTCATAACTTAGTGCTTTATATTAATGAAGTTGAATGCTGAGAAAATGATGGACAAATAAGAGAAGCATCTGCCTGCCGTTTGCATCCTTTCAAATATTCCTCAAATGTACAGATCAGTTACAGTTTCTTGTATAGGACAGTTTCATTTTACTAATAATTGTACTGAAGCATGTCTTGGTACTTTCTTTTCAACTTTGAAGTAGCCAACTCAAAGCCTTGCAGTACCACACTTGCAGAACTCATCCTTTGTATCTATTGACGACAGCTGCTACAGTGACCTTTTTCCTGTCACAGAAAATACTCTTTCTTTTACAGCTGTTCCCCCTGTCACCTTGAGCCGCCTGTTCTCAGTGCTAGCAATACAGAGATGGGTATACATAGAAACGATGGGTGATACTTCTGAGCCTCTGTACTGAAACGGGAGAAGCAGGGAATGGAGCCCGGCAAACCTTTCCCTAGAATATCTGCTGTTACTAATACTCCATAGAAAACAGAAAAACAGAAAAAAGGGCAGCATTTCCTTTTGGCTGGATGTGGGTTTGTCTGTGGTATCTTCCGCAGGCTTCTTGATTTACTAAACTAGAAGCTGCAAGCTGGGAAAAAAGTGTTATATCCCAAGCCATTTCCTTGAACCTCTACATGACAGTTTTTGCTGCTTGTTTTGTTATTGTCAGGAGAGAGGGATCTGGCTGCTGGGCCTATATTCGTAACGGGAAACTTGGCATCTCAATCTTAGTGCTTGTTGTCTTCCTGCAAGCTGTAATACCATTGTATGGCAGAAAGTATCCAGACCGTGACATTGTTGCATCTATGTTTTTATGGTATTTTCTCAAATTAAAAAACCAAACCAAGTACTTATGTTGTATCTAATGACACAAAACTTTTATCCATATGAATCTTTAAGACGTGTTTTACACGCGTTATTCAAAGGGACAGTAAAATGGATTAAGAGTTAAGTGCTATCTGTTCCTTATAGAAAAAGTTATATTAGTTCAATATCACTTTTCTATTACTGAAACGCCTAAACTGATCAGAAAAAGCATAAAAACAGGAAAGGTGCTAATTGGCTTGGTAGCTATTTCTTCCTTTCAAGGACAAATACATCCCTGCCCACGGCAGGGGGGTTGGACTAGATGACCTTTAAAGGTCCCTTCCAACCCAAACTATTCTCTGGTTCTATGAACTACCCAGAGACTAGACTTAACCGTATCAATTTCTAAAATTAGCTCCACATGTGGTAACATATGAATGAACTTTTTCTTTAACAGTAACCACACCCATGATTTCTAACAACTTTACTTAAAGCCTCCATGGGTTTTTTTTTAGAATCTTAAAACATTTCATAGCTAATTCTGTTATGTTAGCTTCCCCCCCACATACTTTATACACTAATCCTTTTATAACATGGCTGAGTATAACAACAGAGGTTTATACTCAGTAGTTGAGTATGATGCTCCACCGGCAAAAACTTTCAATAGAGTCTAATTTGTCCCCAGGTACGTTGTGACACTTGTTTTAATATTTGTATTTAAAAGGCATTTTTACCTCTTCAAAATCCTCTTTGGCTGACGGAAGATCAGTAGCTAAGCTAGCATCCCCCAGGTGTTTCTCCATTCTCTCCCCTTGCACTACAGTGGTCTTTATGACTTTGCTGACCTTCCGGCCTTCCACTGGTTCAGACTGGAATTTGGAGGCACTAGGCAAAACAGCAGGTTCAGACAGGGTCACCTGTAAGGTTAGAAAGCAGAAGTATACTGGATATGAATTACATAATGCATACTAACAAAGCTTTCAGTTACTCTATCATTCCTTCTTAATCACTGCCATAGAGAACAACGGAAGAAGTGTCTCACTTTCTATGTGTACGCATCAAAATAGTAAGTGTACATTTCACTACTTACTCTACAGCTCCGGAACGAGACGTTGTAAGATACATGGCAGTTCAGACAGCAGGAACAGCCCTGGATAATTTATTCTGCTGAGGAGCTTTATGCCGGCAGGGTGAAAACTGCTTCTGGAACCTGAACTAGCCTGAGGGCAGCCAGGGATATTGCTACCCTCCACCACACCGCAGGCTGCCGTACTGGCTCACCTGCCAAGGCCACTGGAGTTACACCAAGTAACAAGTGGACCTCTTGCTGTGAATCCTTGCTGTATTCACACAGGTAGTACGAATTAGTGGTATCAGTCCGTATCTTAATTTTAAGATATTCTTCTGAGAGATGAGTCACGCTTGTAAAACCAAGGAACTCTTACAGGAGCAACAGACCAGAATATTAGAACACCATGGGGAAGTGACAAACATGATTTTATTTGGCAAAATACGAATTTAACGTATATGGGTTCCATATGATAAAGAGTAGCTCTGGTATGGTCAGCTAACTAAAAAAAATTACTTTGTTTTCTTGTTGCCTTACTCCTAGAGAATTAATTCTGATGATTAATTCTGGCAAGAGAGAATGACAATTACGTTCTTAGCACTTCTAATGACCGCTTGTTAACTGTTGCTTTCAACTGCGGTACTGCTGAAAGCAAGCCCTGTTGCTAGCTTCTGGCCCTGTCACAACCTTGATTTTGTCGATACAAACGTCTGTACGGCTACACGGTGAACTAAGCTTAGCAGGAAAAGATAAACTGAAAAGCACTTTCAGGTTGTTTTTTTCTTTTTAATTACCTGGCTTTACAGTTTGCATGAAAGTAATACTTTTTTTTAGCCTCTTCAAAGCAAAGAACACACCAGTAAGTTAAACCTATTATAACTGTATAGTTTTAGAAGGGCTTAGTTGTAGAAACCTAGAGAACATCAGATCGTTTCATTACAACATTCACTAATTTTCTTATTAGAGTAAGAGGTATAATAACAAATACAGATTTGCCATTTATCTGTATGTCACCTTAGTACAAAGCTGCTTTCTTTGTGAATTTGGTACTTCTCATAAATCACAGAATCTGTATCCTGACTTATTTTCAGAGAAAACTCCCCTCTTTCCCTGCCCACCTTCCCACCCCCCCTGCCTTTTCCCTGTCTTTATCCTGAGGCAAGAAAACTTTTAAAAGTATCATTCAAAACTGAATGTGGTTGGCATGAGTAAGATGTAGTTACTAAGTACGCTGTTGGTGTGCTGCTGCCTTGTACCATTGCAAGGAAAGTAGAAGATCTGACCTCTGACTGTTCACTGTCGCTCTTCAGCACAACCCGTTTTACAACTTTGGAATAGCCATCTCCTTCTTCGACAGTGACAGGTTTTTGTGGTGTGCCTTGCATTAGGACTTCCTCTTTTTCTGTGCCGTCTGGAGAAACGTATCGCCGGATGATCTTTCTAGTGACCTGAAGGAACGAAATAGAGCTTTGTCCCAAAAGAATTAACAACAACATACTCCTTCTTATTCTCTATACAGTATTTTCTACTCAAAGGGCATTTTTTCCTACACAGAAAACCCATAGATGGTTCAGTATCTTAGTCTTTAACACATTTTCTCACAAGTACCTGTAGTAAAGCTGCAAGTTGATGCATTCGCCCTGCTTAGGTTACCCCACAGCAAAGCTTCCATAAACTTACTTCACAAAGCAGGCACAATATAGATATTGGAATGACTCTCTAAAGCGGCAGTTATTATCAGGAAAAGAGAGATAGTATTTTAGAGAGAAAACATACTTTACAACCACACAACAGCTAGAAAACGTTTTCAGACTGGCATTTTCAAAAAGGCTTCTGAAAGTAAGAGGTTAGCAGCTTGGCTATCAGATGCTTAGAACCAGATTCACAGAGGGACTTGGACATCACATTGTAACACCGATGGTACTAACCACTGCTGAACTAGTGAGCTAGAATTAGCCTACTTAAGAGACTAATCCGGTCTTAAGCTTTCTAGGCACTGGCAAGCCAAAAAAAGAGGATCAGAAGAGAATTACAGGGTTCAAGACGAGATAAATTTCTCAGGAGGATGGGTATGCATCCCTCTGTGGATGACCCGGAGCTCTACATTTTCGTACGCCTTCCCAGCCCCTTTTGACAAGGTAACATTCAGCAGTTACCTCCCGCTTTGTCCAAAAGCTTATTTGCTGTGATGCTCAGTCAAGATGGGGTCACCTATATTTAAGAGTCACAGAGGTGGGGGTAGTGCCCTCCCAGGCACGGACCTACCCAGAAGAATACACTCATGCTCACTCTTGCACAACGTGCCCAGGAATATTTGGCTGGGGTTGTTTATTTTAATATGAATTCAAACAGCTTCCAGAGACATGCTATCCAGCTGAGGGTCTATGATGTTTTCTTGGGAGGCAGAAGATGGAGTTTGCCACCAGCAGAATTCAGCCAAGTCCTAGACCAGTTCTCTAAGCACTAGGTTCTCAGATAAAGCAAGGAGCACAGAAGTTCCTCTTCCACTTCCATGCTGTGCGGAATTCACTTTTATAAGCATGGTCTGAAAATGCTTATTTTATGAGGCCATCACACCAATAAGTACCTTCTATATTCTTTGTGCCATAAAAACTGAACTGTATGTACAGATACAGAAATTTAGGAACCTGGTCAGGCACAGCTGAGTGGAGATTCTGAAGATCTAAAATCTGGATTTAGCTGACTCTTGCAGACCCAGCCCTCCGTTAGTTTCATTAATACGAGGAAACATGATCTTAGATAAAATTGTGGTGGTGTGGTTTTTTGGGTTTGTTTTTCTTTAAATAACCTTTTTCTCAGAAATGTGGATCTATGCAGAATTTTCACTGGCTTTAAGTGGGAAAATTAACAGAATATGTCATAGTAAGTTATAAACTGTAACACAGAATGACCTTGCGAATCAAAATAATTCTTCAAACTTTGGAATCTCTCATGAACAGAAATTCTGGTTCCTTCCATGCTCTACTCTTAAAAATCATGCCCCTTCACAAAATAAAATTTGGCATGTATGTGGGTGTATTTATCCTTCCTTTTATAGGACAGTAAGAAGGTAGCAAGGGGCATAACTGACAATACCTTCTTTACCACTGTGTGGCCATGTTCATCTGTATATTGCTCTTCTGTGACTGTTTCTGGTGGCATTTCAGGCATACTATCAGCCTGTATGACAAAGAACAAAGTTTAATGAAGCAAGGCCTTCATGTAGGTAACTTTAAATAAGCAATTTTAAAATCGGTTAATTGGTTAAAGAATGAAAAAAAAAATTGAGAAATGTTAGAAAAAAATTTTTCTGCAAATAAATACTTAGAAAGGCATGCAAAGAAAAGTTATGTCACAATGGTCAGGCAAACATATGTTAGTTGACTGCGCTGTGTACGGGGCTGAGAAGTCTTTGTCCTCCTCCTACTGAGGCATCTAACGGAATTTAGAGTTGGGTTAGCTGTATTGCTACAATCTTCCCTTCAAGAAAAGGTATTGGAATGGCTTATCCAATGCCCATGCATTATTCAGGAGCATTCCAGCTTCAAGTGCAATACCAGCCACGTGGTTGTCTCAGCAGCATGCCTAAAGGTGGTGCCAGGGCCTAGTCACCACAGGCTCGTGCAATCGTTCAACACTCAGTACCTGAATAATCACACGGCGACGAACGACCCTGGTAGTGACCATCTCATCTTCGTCCGAGCTGGTCTCCAGCCCACCTAACTCCTCTGCTAACTCCTAGTGGAAGCATGGAAGCAGTATGGGATACTAGCAGCACTTCCAGGTTCTGTCTTGTTTTTATCTAAAACCATCCTCACTTCTGAAAATTTTTTGCTTTTAAGATTTTGGCTTCTTACCTGACTTTAATCTGTGAAACATCGATGTGGGGTGGGAGGCTTTGGCCACTTGACTATACATTAGCTGTTTATTAGCATGTTGAAAAAAGAAAGATGAATCTTTGTGGTATTAATTCTATAGGATGTTCTTCGTGGTCTTAGTGCTCTTAAGGTTGCCAGGGACAAGCCTGAAATTTGTGGCATGACATCACTGCAGGTGGACTAGAAGGTATTACTAACACCAACTCTGGAATTCATACATATTGCATATGCTTTCTGTATTAGATACACAGAAAATTATACGAAAGCCTTTTAATCCTCCATAGTGGGAAGAACATAGTGCAGCATATAGACAGGACTAAACAGTTTTAACTAGGGGACACGATGTATTAATAGCCTTGGCACTGGAAAGGTCAAGAAAGATTAGTAACAAGCGTTGAAGTTCTCTCTCCTGCATAGGGAAGAATTAAGAATTTAAATGAAGAGGTCAGAAGGCAAAGAGAAGCTGAAAAGAACTACTTGGGAAGTATCAACAGTATAAAAGCATAAAGGGGAAAATAAGTAAGGTTGCTTCTTTTTGGTGGTGCTCGTTGTTGTTGTTTTACTTTAATAAAGGAACTGGAGGGAAAAAGAAGTACATCGTCTTTGAGGGCAGCCTTTCCTACAGCAGCCATTGTATTGAGTCCTGTTGTAGCTAATCTTTCAACGTCTGAGTTACCCTACACATTTTATATTCAACCTTTTTCTGAGATCCCAGAGGCAGAGCTCTGAAACTCTTCATTCTAAAGGTGGTACATTTGGCAACATAAACAGCAAAGAAAGAAGAGCCTGTTTCTAGGTGAATGTCAAAACAGGAAACAATTTCTGCTTAAGTAGAACTGTGCTTTCTCTGCTCTAACTTAACTGATAAAACTGATTTCCTGCCCAATTACGTCTTCTCCTTTTCTTCCACTTGGAACAGGCAAAGCAAGCTGTTTATTCTTAAACCTTTATGTGCCAAGTAATTTAAATTCCCCACTAAAAGCCATATAGTTGCTCTCTTTCCTTGCCTTTTGATATCTTCCCCTCTCCAAACATTGCAGTAAGGTTCCTTTGTCTTACACAACCAATGACCTACCTCACATAGTTTTTGTTCTTCTCTTCCATCTCCTGTCTCCATTTCTCTTTACTGCCTGCATGCTACATAAACACCATTCTCAAGTTCTTTTCTTCCAGTACTTCCTTAGTATTCTGCAACGTACATCCTGCTGCCTCTTTTCCATCTCACTAACTTTACAAGATTTTTCATGTCATTCTTCATGCAGCTCTGGGCTAGTCTTGCCTTTCTTCATAAGCTTTTAACATTATTACTTTGTCTTTCATTACATCTGTTTTTCAGCTTTCAATTGTACATGGTTTGTTTCTGCACCTGTTATTTACACTAATTCCCTCTCACATGCATGGACATAACCTGTCACAGACCAAAGGACAAATAAGGGTAGCAGAACCAGAATTACAGTCTAGACTTTAGGATCTGGGTTTTGCTTCAGCTTTGAAAACCTCTATACAAATGACTATAGCTAGCCCTTATAACCACAGAGGAAAGGAGAAAAGACTCAGTTGCAGATGGGGATTAATTAAGCTGATTAAAAATATTCTCATCTTACGGAATGAGCGAGACATAAAACTTGTTCTTCTGTGGCAATTACTTTGAGGCAAAGTTGTTATTTACCTTTTCTAAAGATTCCTCTTCATAGCCTCTTCCAAACTTTTCTGCCTGCTCATCAGTTGACTCCACTATCACTAGACTAGTTCTTCTTGGAGAGAGGTCGTCCTCGTGGAGTTGGGGATCCTCGGGCTCTTGGATGATGGGAGAGTCACTTCTCTGAGCAGATGATGGGGGCTGTGGGGGTGGTGTTTCTCTCTCTTCCTTTGCCGCACTGAAGTGTGCAGATTTTTCGCTTGCTGCTTTTCCAGTTACTGGTGCTGTAGACTGCTCTGTTCCTGGAGTTGTGACACTGTGAATTACAGGTTCAAGGGAAGTTACTACCATGCAGTGCTTTCCAATTTCCATAAATGGAACATTATGGAAATTATGGTTATGTTGTCTGTCATCTAGCAAAGTCTAGAAATAACTGATACTCCTTGACAATAAGTACAGAGCAATCTGGCTAGGAATCCCTCTCATCTTCCTGACCCAAGAAAATCTCCAAATGGATGTCCAAACATTGCACCCCATTCTGCAAAACTTTGTAAAGAATTTATGTGAGCTTTGCTGTCGCTTGTGCCCTCACAAATCTACATATTACCTTTTTTTTTTGGGGGAAAGAGACTGGATCACTACAGATGGATGTGAAGCAACTACTACATTAATTACAAGCTACACAGCTGCAGGTGAGGAGAGACCAACTTTTATGTAGAATTCTGGAGCCTTACCAAACAGAAATTTAGTAGAGAATCTAATTTTCTTTGTAATGTTATTTTCACTGTTGAACATTGCTATGATTTAATTGAAAGTTATTTAAACATATTATTATACATATCACTACGTAACATATATAAAGGTAATACATGTATTAAAGCAATACTTTGCTGTTGCAGATGGGTGAAGAACAGTGACTTCAGATATTAAGCTAACTCTCATCTAACCTAGTTTTATGAAGTAACCTTATAACTGATGCTAGCTTGAAAAGGTCACTTCTGATTTGCACTAATTGTGAAAACATTACCCACTTCACCACCTAGAATCTTCTTTTGAGGTTGACTTTTCTCTTTTCATGTGTACCAGTAAAAAGAAAAAAAGACAACCATATCAAAACTGGTGGAATTACAGCCTGAAAAGTAATGAGCCTGCAAAAATTACATCTTCCACTTCTAAAACTTCTGAGATGCTTTGGAGCTAGCATCTACATGCTTGCTTTTTCCCCCCTCTCATCCTAAGAATTAACTGAGGAAATTGTTAAATTTTAATAATAGGAGTCCAGATTCCCTTCTCCATAACCAATCCCATGAGTAGATAACAGCAATAATAGAATAACTTGCACGTACATTTTTTTTTCCTGATACAAGTTGGGTTTTGACAATTTGTTGTGCTCTCCCAACTACTGCCCTTGAAACAATTGTGTTCTAAAGTAAGAAAAGATTTCATTGTAGTATCAGTTAAACAGTATTGATCCAGACTTTTTTTCCCATTCACCAGGCTATACATACTATTGTATAATTCCTCTTAGTATGTGTTCCTTATAAGCTATTTAAATCTTGCCCAATTTTCCTCCTAGTTCAAACTAGATATGAAGTGTAGTGATATTCCCCTGTCATCACTACTCTCATTTAGTATTGGCAATATTGTCTCAAATGTGTTCTCTATTCCTCAAAAACATTCATTTCCTCATGCAAATCATTAGGAAGTATCGGTATTTTTGCCTATCAGTGCAACGTTAAGTCCTCTACCTTAGATGCCATTTTCTGTCTCCCACACTCTCTCCTGGGTGTAAAGCGTATCTTGAGCAAAAGAATCCCCAAAAGACCATTTGCTGGACTGTTTGCCTGTTTGGAGCTGCATCTCCACATCAAAGCTAATCACTCCCAGGAAAATCACTTCTTTGGAAGGGGATCCGTGATATTTTGCTAGCCTATGAATACCTGAATCAACTCTGCACAGAGTTCTCAGCATGGGCACATGTTTAGGGATGGTGGGAAGAAAGAAACGTGATCCCTTTTAAGTTCCTTTCAAGTTCCTTTCCAAATGAAACCAACCCCACTGACAGCCCCCAATCAGAATTCAAGGCTTTGCTGTGCAGGTCTTCTAAATCTGTATCATGTGTTGTTCCCTTAAGTACTTTTGTCTTGTCTGTATAAAACCCTGTTTCTGTTCCTTTAGCCATCTGAAATTTACTTTTAAAAATCTAGTTCCTAATAGGTGGTTATGAGTTTCGTAAGTAATGATTAAGTTGGAAAATTTTTGCCTCAATTGAAAAAGCCATCCTGAAGTTGAAGAAAGGCCCCTCTAGTGTTAATTCCATTAAGTTTAACAATACTTGCCAACTAACATATGAAAAACGTACACAGTTTGCAAAAAAACCCCACCTCTACATTATGCCTCTTTTCTTTCATATGTACTAGACTAGATTATTGTTTTGCGTTCACAGTGACAAACTGACTTTCTCTCCTAATCCTTAAGGCTTCCTCCACATGGATTAAAAAGGCAAACCTGCAGTAGGAACTAATGGACTGGTGTGCACAATTGGAGGAAAATTCTAGTGAGTTCATATATTTCAAAGAAAACTCTAAAATCCTCTTATTACGCAGAGAAGAGAGAATCCATTCCACATAGGTTTCGTTCTGCTCTTTTGACACTTACAAATATTCATGTTGTGAAGCAGATGGTTTTTCTGGCACATCTTGGGGTTTCCCTGAGAATTCAGCTTCTACTTGTTCCTTATGTGCTTGTCTCAGGAGCTCAGCCATTGATCCTTCTGCCTCACTCCTGGGAGTACTGTCCTGAAAAGGAGAGTAACTGACAGACACGTCTTCCTCAGAGACAATAGGAGGGTGTTCAGTTGGCTCACTGTCTTTAGATATTCTATGTCGTTCTTCTTGCTTATGTCTTGAACTGTACAGTTCTTCTTGCAGTGCAGAAAACCCTTTAAAAAACAGAGAGATGAGAAATGTCATTACAAGTCTTACTAGAATGCAGGAAGTCCTTATCGTTCTGCATGTGCATTTAAAATCCCTGGATGAAACACATTACCTGAAATTTTTAGACATCTCGAGTGGGAGAGGACATAACCTCTCTAAGTAGTTGAAGGAACACTGGGTTACCACTACTATTGCCAAATAATGAATCTTGACAGTAACAGGCAAAATAAAATTTACCCAGAAATTAACCTAGAGTAATTAATCTTGAAACCCTCTAAGTATGAAAGAAGATTCACAACAGGTTTTCCCAGCAGATTAGGATAGGTTTTAGTGATTTCCCCCCCCCCTCCATTATTTAGCTGCTTATGGAAAAAATAACTACACAAGTATGGACAAAGAAATTCATACGGGACTAGGTGCAAGAACTAGCTAATTTATGTGCTTCAAAGCATATAAACCCATCCACCCACCCCCAACCCCTAGTCTCAAAGCAAGGGCTCTCATTCTGCAAAAAATGTAAAATAAGGTATGCGTTTCTGTTCCACAGGCTACAAGTCATAAGCTTGGGCTTTTGTTTGTCCTTACTAGCCACATTCACTAGGAACCTATTGAACTCTGAAGAATGGCTTGGGGGAAAACATAACTGCTTGTACTGGATTTGAGCTGGACATGGACATTAATGTTCTAAAACTAATCAGTTGTGATATTAGAACGGTAATTATAGCAAACAACCTTCTGTTCCAACATCCTCTTAAAGATGGGACATCTGCTGCTGTCTAATACTTTACTGAGCTACTAGTTCAATACTAAGTTAAGGATGTAAAAGTATCACTTCCAGACAAGAGAATTTTATTTCACTTAATTTGGAGGTGTTTCTTTAGTTTACAACCATTGATCTGATGTACTGAACTTTTAAACTTAAGAAATCCAGCAGCATCATAGCAGAATTCCAATATCCTGGATACTTGAATTCAAACGTTTTTCCAAAGCGTTTGACCATCTTGGTCAAATCCTAATGCAACCTTCTTAGCTTTTATGAAAGTACTTGTATAAGCAAAAAACCCCCAACAAACTGGGCATAAGTATTTGCAGTAGTTTCTGACAACATTCCTTTATTTGCTTTATAAGAATCAGCTAATGCAGAGATCTTACACCTGGTGAAATAGCGACCTGTGTGATGTCATGCTTGCATTCATCCATATTATCTGTGCTTTCAAAATGAGATTCTAGTCCTCAGTCAAAAGAGTTAACAGATTATCGTAGTCAAACATTTCAGAACAGAAGCTAGTGCTTAGATGAGAGAACCTTGGCAGTCTGGATCAGGAGACGTTTACCTTCACTATGGTCCAATCCTATTGTTTGTTCAATTTCTGCGTACGTGCGAGTGCCGTGGACCTGCATGGAGTCTATGCCGCTGGTCTCCATTAGGTGAACAATATCCATCCGGTTGATTTTTGTAAGACATTGGGTAAGATTTGTATCTGTGGCATTAGAACGACACCATGTAGCTGAGTTAAGAATTTCACATGCTCTCTCCCTTCTGTTTTCCACATGAAGGACATATACAGGATACTGAGCAATATAATATTTTATATAAAATACAGATGCATTTAGAAGCATTGCTATGTAAAACCTAAAATTAACTGCAGGGCTGCCTATAAAAATTATTACTCATTTTGTTTTTTCCTTTAACAAATTTGTTCCATTTCCCCATACATTTTTCAGTTTAGGAAAAAAGAGGCCTCAGTGGTTTTCCACTCTTTCTTTGCTGTAAGATGTTCTGCCTTGCCCTGAAATGAACAAGATTAAACTATTTTCTCTGAGAATCCTATGATATGCCATATTACACAGACAAGCTTAAAAAAAATTAAGTACAATCTATGGTCATTCTTTCTATAGCCTAAATTTTACCCTACATTTTTCAGTTTAGGAAAAAAGAGGCCTCAGTGGTTTTCCACTCTTTCTTTGCTGTAAGATGTTCTGCCTTGCCCTGAAATGAACAAGATTAAACTATTTTCTCTGAGAATCCTATGATATGCCATATTACACAGACAAGCTTAAAAAAAATTAAGTACAATCTATGGTCATTCTTTCTATAGCCTAAATTTTACCCAAAAAATTTTTTTTTATGATTAGAACACACATCTGTCACCTCAACTAGCAAATTGGAGACAGCTATATGTACTATATCTGGAAACGAACCTGTTGCGTGTTTCCCATCCCTTTCAAGCCAGTATTTGAGGAGTGCATGGCTCTGGTCTTGAAGTGAATTAGGATTTTCAATTCGGATCTGGTGAATTTGCTCTTCTGTGAAATCCAGTTCTCTGGCTAGCTCTGAAAAAGAAATCCATCTCTGTAAAGACGTCTTTTTCTTTTTCCCCGCTTTACATCTATTTTACGGCTGTCAGCAGCAAAGTGGATTACAAACTTTTCTGAAACCAAATTCCCTTTGCTTCTATGTACTTTGTGTTATATCGAGAGCCGTTGTTAAACAGTAAGTTCATGACAAAGACAGAAATGCGTTACGCCTAGAAGTGATGGGTCTGCATGAGCTTTTATTTTGCGTGTCTACCATTCCTAGTTCTCAGAGGCACAACACTACTGACAAAATTTAGCAGAGACAAGCTATCAAATAGAGTGCAGCTGCAGAAATAGCACATGAGCAGATAAAAATACTTCTAGCTACAGAGCACCATGCTCAGCAGATTCTATCCTCTGAAATGTTGAATATTTCAGAAACTTTGACCAAAATCTAGTAAAAGAATTCATTTTAAGTAATGGTATTTTGTAGGGCTAGATTACAGCATACTACTACTAGTCCCCTGGACTTGTTTCATTTAAAGAAAAGTAAATGTCTATGAATTACAGTTGAAAACCAAAAATAAGAATAACTGATGTCTTTCTGATGTAGCATAGGCTCAGACTGCAGTCCAGGAAAAAGAAATGGTTTAATAGCCTGTAACATCTTTATCATATCCAGAACCAGGAGCAGCTTTCTGCCATGACCAAACTAAGATGCAACTGTTGAAACAGGTCATCAAATGAGTTAAAAACCATGGAGAATTTGTGAGATTCCTACTGTTATTCCCGGTCTCCAGATTCCTGCTTCTTTCACAAAGAAGGATTCATATTCTATTCCATTGTTATTATCGCTATAGTGGCATGGACTCGTCATGTTTTAACAGGGTGGAGTGAACCCTAACCCCAAACTCCAGATAACCTTGTTTCCAGGCCGGCTTGTAAACTGGTGCAACTGTAAACTTCAACAAATATACAGTTAACTACACATTAGATTCAAATCCCAGGTAGTCAAATAAGTTTGAACGAAAAACAACCACTATTTTATCCCCCAAAGTAACATCTGACACAGTAATCTTTACTATAATCAATCTTTACCATAACATAAGACAGGAATATTTATGCAGGTGTATTACCCTGCCCTCTCTAAAATGCTATAAAACATTAATGTCTATTTTGATCAGCATCCATTTTTTCTAGTTTTGTTTCAGAAATGTCTATTCATTTATATAAAATTTTCAGCAGATCCCTAATCTGTTACATTGCACAGGTCCAAGTCCTACTGATTTCAAAATAATCCATGTTGGGACGAGTGACATATGCTCTATGGATTGAAATAGAGGACAGGAAAGGAAGAGGTGAGTAACATAAGCAAAAGTATCAGTGATATTTTGCATATACTCTGAAGATGCTTATAAAAACAGTATAGAGCACAATCTTCATTATCAAGGAGTTAACACTTTTTCTCTGGTATACAACTCTTCTTTAACTCCGAGCGCCTTGCTTATTTTCAAGAGCGTGGTACTGCTCTAGGGTTAGATACAAAAAAGTGTAGACCCAATTTAATTTTTTTTGTGGCAATTTTTTCTTGGATTGCAGTTTGACACAGCATTGAGATTTCTGCACAGCTCTTTTTCTTTGTAAACACTTTTGAGCTGATTTTCAGTGATAGACATCTGCATTCCATTCTGTGTTACTTTCACTTGTCCCCAGTAATGTTAAATGTCTCATATCTATTAAATCCACAGCATTGAAGTGATTGTTACAAAGAGGTCCCTTTTTATCCCTTTTTCCGCAGCACAGGTCTGTAGAAAAGAAGCTGATGTCATTTATCCCTATAGTGGCCTTCCAGCTCAGGAGTTCCAGAACACAGATGATGTTTATTCATGCATCCATTTATCTTCTAGCCAGAGTTGTTGCATTTTGCAAGAAAGAGTAGGGTAACATATGCCAGCTCTTTGTCACTCTCTCGTCCTAGGAGTTTTCCCTCTGGAGATGCCACAGAAAGTGCAGAGGCCTTACCTCTGCATCTGCGTTCTTACCTCTCTAGGTATAGGCTATAGGAATCTTAGCAACCAGAAGACAGTAAGCTACTGAAATATTTCTATAAAACATCTTTAGATAATCAGGAAGTCATCTGAAAGAAACACGACAAAAGCGAGGCATGCTCCCCTCCTTTCTCTCTGGAGTAGACGACATGCATTTTACCTGTCCAGCTGAATCCAAGATGATCGGCAATGTGGGCCAGTCTTTCCTCTGTCCTTTCCTGATCATCCTGTTGATCTAAAGGTCAAAGAGAGCCACAAGTTGCCTTTTACAAGTTAAAAACCGTTTTCATAGGTGATATAGCCCAAGAAGGGAAAGTGCTTTTTTTACTAACTGCTGTAATCTAAATGCGGACAGGCTGTTACAACTGGGTAACTGAAGAGAGGACTGTAAGTCCCCAGGTTAAAAAAAAAGAAAAGCTTGATTTTTCAAAAAGCACAGGACTATCTACATTTTCCATTTGAAAATCAGGCTTTCACGTGAAAATCTAAACAAGGACTGAAGTGCCTACGGTGCCTATTTTGGCCAAGCATTTTATTCTAAAACTTCGTTCTAACATTAAACTGAAAACTTTAACTAAGACAAGAGCCATAATTTTCCATGCCTCCTTAGTAAATGCCGAGGTTGAAGAATTCAGCCTGACTGGTGCTTCTGATTATGTTCTTTCTGTTGTAGGGAAAGTTCTGTTCAAACAGTCCGTATGGCACTTCATATTATGGTTTGTATTTGAAATATTGTTAATTTAAGTGTCTTTGACCCTTTCAACTAGGGAGTGATATAAAATACTTGAAATGAAGGCAAGGAAAAATGAGATGTTCATTCGCCAGTCTTCATTTATTTTGGTAACAGTGAGACTGACTGTTCCTCCCATCCCCAAAGCTAATTTGAGGATGGCAGAACTTGAGTTTTGATTTTCCCTGAATTCACACATACATCGCGATATCTCCGATTCAGAAAATTGCTTAGGGTTAATGATATATGCATGTTTCATTTTAGCTACTGGATTTCCATCATGGCTACTCTGTAGTAGCAGGCAAGTGGGTGAGAGGAAAACCAAACACCAGAAAACTTGTACTAAAGTTACTGGTGACACAGAATTTTCCTGAGACACAGATCATCAAAAAAAGGAACATGAAAAACTTAATTGTTTAAAACTTCTGCAGATTTATTTGTGTAACAACTCAAAAGAAAATGAATTTGCCTGTCTGTTTCAATCAATGCCCAAATATTTCATTATTAGTAAAAATTAATAGTTAAGAGTAGGGCCAGGGAAAGCCAAAAGCCAAAATGTGCATGACCTGAGCCATCAGTTTAATGGTAAAACAATACATATTTTTAGAAGTGTTTTTGTTTATTAAGGCAACACTTCCCATAAGCATTCATGGTTTGCAATCTTGAGATTGTTTCACAGACAAGAAAAATACAGACACAACACAAAAAACCAAACACAGCTCACAGGGGAAAAAAATACACAACTAACCACCAAAAGCTTAAAAGAAAATGCCACACACATTACACGTGTATACAAACACACATACACACACACGCCCCAAAGAAAACAGAAAACCAAAGAGTTTAATTCATGACATGCGTCGCACAGGGAATCCCAGTCGTTGGCAAATACCTTCAGCATGGTCATGGACATTTTCATCAGGGATACGTTCAATCTGAGTCTCTACAGACTCATCCCAAATGGGTCTGGTGTCAAAGATGTCTTCAGGAACTGACTGCTGAGTCTCAATGGATGGCACATTTTCAATAACTGAAACTTCTAGGGCGCTACTGCTTTCATCATCTGAAACTAATTCTTGTTCTCTCTCTGACTGCGTGAGTCTTTCCACTAATTTAGAAGCTTCATCACTAATTTCTTCAAAGAATTCTATGGAGTTTTTGTAAAGGTCAAAAAAATGTTCCTTACTTTCTTTTGTGGGACTAAAAGCACTGCGGGAGGCTGTAGTGCTTCTGCTTTTAACTGGCAACCGTGATGAATATACCTTGGGTCTTGCTGTTGTTGCCTCATCTGAGTCTAGCTCAAGCTTCATCTCTCTCTCCCTCTCCCTGGTCTCTGCTTCTGCCTCAGCATAACTCCTAGCTTTTATTGAACGTTTAGTCTTTGGGTCCATGGGAATACTTGCATCAGATTCAGATTTACTTCGGTTATCTTGTTTCATAGGTAGTTTGCTTGTCATGTCAAGAGCTTTGGGTGACTCTAGCCTGCGGAAAGATGTGTCTGTGTATGTATATTGTTGTTCAGCTTTTTGGAAAGCTGCTTTGACAGGAATTTTAGACTTTGGTTTTGCTTGGTCATCTTTTCCTTCACACTGCAAGCTGTCTAGGAAGCCATCTGTGGGAAGGCTCTCATTTTCCGATTGTTGCAAGGATTGTGATGCAGCAGCAGCTGTTCTTACAGGAATTTTGGATTTGCTTTCACAAGAAGGCACTCTCTCCATTAGAGCAGTAGGGATTTCAATCACAGATCTCTGTTCCTCTGGTGAAGAGTCTGGGGACTCATCACCCTGTTCAGAACAAACTAACCTAGGGACTTTGGAAAAATCTAATTCATCTTCTACTACAGACTGCTCAGGAGAGATAGGGCAAGGCACCTGACTGCTATCAACCGTGTCAGTCTCCATTCTGGAGAGGGGCTCAGCTTCAGAGGCAGCAGTTTCTTTCTTTGGTGATTTTGAAGAAGCTGAAATACCCATTTTAATTGGAATTCTGGATTTAAGATCTGCTTTTGTGGTGCCTATGCTGACACCTTCACCCGTCATTTCTTCTGATTTATCACTAGACTCAGATGCTGGGGGTGAGTATTTCAATGTGTCTTTTTCTTGTATATCCGAGTCTTCTGATTCTGAAGGTGAAAATGGATCTGGTGAGCTCTTCAGCTTAGAAGATTCCACCTCTGCCGCTTCTTTCACTTCTTCAGATAAAGAAACTTCTTCCTGAGGCTGCTGCCCCATTTGGAAGAAGTGAAAGCTTTCATCTGGATAGTTCCTTTTGGTCATGTCAATGGCTCCACTTCTAGTCATTTCAAACAACTTTCCTTCCTGAAAAAGAAAAGGATTTTGTTCACTGAGCGGTGTCCCTTCTTCGGTGGGTGTTCTGGCTGGTGTGGTATCAGGTGTTGTGCCTTGTGATCGCCTGTCTACCATCAACCCAAATATCTTTTGTTCCTCTTCTTTCACCCGAGCTTCAAAAGCTTCATCATCTTCACGTATTTCACTCCACATGTCAGAATCCACATCAGTTTTAGTGATGACAACTTGACTGATCAATTTCCCTGTTTCATCTCTTATATCCTCTAGAGCGGATTCAGCTAATTTTGTGGAATCTGATGCTGAAGACCCTTGTGACATTTTCTGAACTGCATCCTCTGGTTTTGGCTCTATTTCCATATATACTTTCTCTGAAGAGTGATATTCACTACCTGTGTCTCTGCTAAGTAAAGCTTCACCAGTCTGATCTTTTCCTTCTTCAGTAGGATAGCTTTCCCTAGATAACAGACTTCTACCAGATCCTACCTTACTTTCAGAGTCAGGAAAGAAATGTTCAGAAGACACATTTTCATAAGGGCTTACTATATAAGGAGCACTTTCAAGTTCCACTGTTTCAGTGGTAAGGGATGAATACTCTGCTAAGGGTTCCTCAGCATGAATCTCTCTCTGAGATGTTTCAAAATCGGTATCTGCTTTTCCCAAATCACTTCCCAAAGCAGAATGGTCAGTGGTATCATCTTGAGCCAGTTTGCCATCTTGTGGTACAGAGTACTCAGTGGTACTGTGTCCACAAGAACTGTCATCTACTTTCTCAGACACAGCTCCTGTAGAAATAAGATCTGTGTGTGTTAACAAGGCAGTGGTTTTGACATCTTTTTCAGTAGTATCATATTGCTGCAGTGTTAGTGAAGACTCAACATGAACTTCTTTTTGAGAACTGCCACCAATGGAATGACACAAAGTACCCCCAGACTGTGTGACTGGGGCACTGGGACTAACTGTCTCACTGTCATCTGTACTGTCACATTTTGATTCATCAGTTTCTGCTGATACACAACCATCAGAATGACAAGTGCCTGATTCTCCTGTGGAAGTCTTACAGCTGCCCCCAAGGACAACTGGTTCCTCTTTGTCATCTTCTGTTGGCTCATCCTGTTCTGCTTTAACTGCACCTACCCTGATAGAGCATTGTTTTGAATCAATGGGTTGAAAACCTGCTTCGTCAGGGCTAGAACTGGAGTCAATACTGGATGGTAATGGTGAGGGTGGCTGCACCCGGATCACAGGCTCCATTAAGAGGCCTGAGTCAGCTTCTTTTTTTAGCTGAGTCAATTCCGGCTCACTTTCTGAAGAGGAAGAACTTTTTCTAGATTCGGCTGCAGACATCACAACTGTAGGTGTATCTTTTTCTTCTACAGCTGTTGACCCTGGTTCTTCAGCTTCACATGCAGCTTCTGAATCAGCAGTTACAGAAGATTCATCTTGCTTACAATCCTTTTTGTAATCTCTCCTCTGTTTTGCTTCTTGTTCTAATTCATCAAACATTTTGATTTTGGTCACCATTTTAAACATCTCCTCTTCAGGGGTGAATCTCTTCTTTGGTTCACTTTCTGAATCATCCTCTGGTTCTTCACTGACTTCAGGGATCACGGCTGACTTTGGTATGTTTGACAGTGCCTGTGAATCTGCTGTTTTAGGTGTGATTTCGTAGCTAATTTCTTCAGAACTAGGAGTTTCAGGTGAAAGAGGACTTTTCCCTGAACTCTCCATGAGGGATGTTTGCTCTAGACTGTCATCATCAGCACTTCCCTCAGGGTCACGGAGAATCCTGGAACGCACCGATGCCAGCTCTGGGCAGGTTTCTCCTTTGCTAAGAACGGACTGAAGAGGACCCTGCCCCAAAATACCAGCCTTCACTGTTTGTTCTACAGGGCTACTTTCAAGGGAATCACGGCAGGGAGACTCTTTCATAGGACTGGGCTCCAAAGAATCAGGCGTTTTGTGTGATGAGTTATCTTCTAGCACTGGGCTTGCTTCCAGGGAGTCTTTATGACTTATAGCCAAAGAGTCATCTGCAACTGGGCTAAAGCTTTCACTATCATGGCTAGCAAGTGAAAGTTCCAATTTCTGGGGACTTCTAACCACAACACGGCGTTCACAGGTTATATCTTTTTCTTGCTCTAAAGCAGTGTCATGTGTTTCAGAAGACTTAGTTAAATGTGCAGTGGTTCTGGATTC